TATGGCAGTGTGTGGCACGAAATCTGTGACGCAGCGAAAACTGTCAAGCTGATGAAGACTTGCAAAAAAAATAAAACTAAAAAGTTACTGGTAAAAAGTACAATAAAAAACAACAAAAAATGTTTAAAAAAAAATATTAAAAAAGTCCAAAAAACATAAACATTTAGGTGTAAACCAAAAGCCTGCGTTGCAACAACCTTTAGCTGGCCTTCACTCGGTTTATAGCTATAACACATGCTTTATTGTTTTGCTTTCTTTTTTTCCTGCTACAATACTTGCCTGGCTACTCTTCTTCATTTTTACTGCCTGGCTGTTGGTGACAATGAGTTTGATGGTGATTTTAATGTCTGTCGTTAAGCGCAGCGCTGACTAAATGCGACACGGTGGGCCAGGCCTGCAGTACACTCGCTCACATGTATGTAAGCAAGTATTTTTTTGCTACCAGAGTTTTATTTTTAATTTTTTCAACTCGCTTTAACGCTTCTGCTTCTTCTTCTTTTCATTTGCTCTATTGTCTTGTCACTTTACTGATATTTTGCCAATTTTCTACGCTTTGCGCCACTTGCTGCTCTCTCTGTTGTTGTTTGGCAACAATTTTGAACTACAACTATATATTGTATATGAGCCAACTAAAGAGTTAAGCGACGCACCTGAGTTTAAATGCTTATATTGTATAGCTTGAGTTTGTTTGAGAACAATTTAGGCAGTGAAAATTTAATTTAAAAATTGTAGAAATTGGTTTTTTGTATGTAAAATTATTTTTAACAAGGTAAAGGAGAGGGTTGCAGTCAGAAAACTTGACGCGTTTGCGTTTACAAAACGAGAGTGGCGGACATTGAAAAATATTTCAGTTGCTAGGTGAACGCCTAGTTTGTTTCAAGTTAACTTAGTTTGACTTTAAGTTTACAAATCTTCAAGTGACACTTCAATTTACACAGCACTCGCCTAACCAAAGACTTAAGATACAAACTTCGGACGCAAAAAGCTGACTGAAGCTATATAACCCGTTTGGGATTCGTGGCTTCTACTCGCTGGCTTCCTCTTGTCAAAAAATTCACATTTCATTCATGATTCTTAAAGGAATAGTTGTTTAAAATCCACTTGGGAAATAAGAGCGTATGAGGATACCCATGTGAAGTGGTATCATTTTATTTGGTATTAATTCTTTATTTGGTAATATCAAAGTAAGTGATTTTTACCCGCTGTTTGTTCCATTTTTTACTCTCAAAAGTGTGGTGGAACGGAGCCAACAAATAAATGATACAGAAACTTGCCGTGTTTTTACTTCAAAATAATTTTTTATTTCTGTTATTTTTTTAATTCAATTTAGTAAATACAAACTTTAATATTTTCACAACACTTTTTCATTTTATTTCTTTATTTAATTAAGGAAATAATTTAGAAATCTAAAAAGTTTGTATTTGAAAATTTCTACAGGAACCGTGGTGGTGCAACGTGCTTTTCACAATTTGTGCAACATTTAAAGTAAAGTGTGCAACGTTTTAAGCCAGACAGGGAGTGTGGCGGGACACAGTGCAAAAATTTAATTATAAAAAATTAATTTAATTTTAATTAAAATTTAATAATTAATGTTGAAAAAAGTGTACTAAATTAAAATGCTTTCTCAAGTAAAGTCGGATGTGGGTGAATATAAAGTTTAACTAGCAATTAATCCTTAATTAATGATATCAAATTTAAGTTTAAAAAAAATCTAATTTATTTAAATTATGGATAATTAAATTTGGAAATGATTATTTATTTTAGCGAAGTATTTTAAGTAATTATTAAATAGCATTTTTTTAGGCATAAAAACGTATTAATGTTTTGAAAACTTGTTATTTCGAAAGTTAGATTTAGAAGATTGAAAATATATATTCGAAAAATATTTACTGAAAACTTTAAATGCATTGTATGTACATTGTACACTTTTGTTTAATGACACACAGAAATTAAGATTTTAAAATCTTACTCTAAAAATTTTGTAAAATTGCTTACACAGAAAATTTTTTTAGTTTTTTAAACGTGTCTTTACAAATATTTCAAAATTACTTACACACAAAAAGTTAAAAACCAATATTTCCTTGTTTAAATATTAAAAAGGTTAAACTTATCCACGAAGTTGAAAATATAATTTTTCGATTTTCATATTTATGCATTGTAGATATTTTCAAATATAATGTCTACTATCCATAATTATGAAAAAGTATAATTATAACATATAATATAAATACGTTAAGTGTTCGCTTTAAAAGCTTGAAGCTAAGTTTTCTAATTAAAAATTGGTTATTTTTTGAACCCAATTAAACATTGAATTAACATTCGCTTACCTAATGAAACCGTAATATAAATAAAATTATCTACCATAAAAAAGACAAGATTTTCTCGATTAAGATTCAGAAGACTTTAATCTCGGAGGTATCCACAAATATTTCCTTACTTATATTCAAAATCCTCGTTTAAAACGATTTTCGGAGATTCCTGTACATATGCATATGTATTTGTAGATGCATATGTATATACGTTCATACATACTGACACAAACCAATTTTGTGCCAAAATGCGAATTTTATATATTTTAATTATTAAAAGGAAATTGCGTACATTTCATCAACTATTAAATTTAACTTAACTAAAATGTCCATTAAAAAGAGGATGCCGCGTGAAAGAGCAAAAAGTGACCACGCATAAATGCACCTAAGAGCATGTGCCCGAAAAAACTGACAAGTCCTCAAAAAATACCGAAGAAGAGCAAAAAAGGTATGCTAAGATAAACAAGGTACATAAAGTGAGCGAAGAGTAAAAAAGACAGGGGAAGGAAGCCTCACTGGTGGAGGAGCTCTGGCAACAGTGAAGTGCAGATGAACTTACAGCGGCCACAATATATACGCACACACATTTAAGGCAAAGCGAAAGTTATGCATGAAGAAGAACTCATTGGCGAAAACAACAACAACAAAAAAGGAGCAGAATAGTAGCAAAGCTGATTATGGCGGCAGGTGCAGCGGAATTGCGACACGCCACAACGAACGCACTGTCAAATGCAAAGATGTGGCGCAAAAAAACACAACTATAACAACAACTACTACCCGAGTACTGAAAAAGCAGTAGCTCTAGAGAAATGGAATGGAATCGGCGGCATAGAGAGAGTTGAAGTAAGTAACAATGCCTTAAGTGCATTTGCTGCAAACGCCAAATAAAAAGTCATTAATTTATAAAACAATAACAACAACAATTTGTAGTGGGAAAAAATGCAAGAAATGCAGCTTTCATTGTTACGCGCGCGCTTGCTGACAACACAGCCTCAAAACGCTCGCATGCAAATAAGCGGAAAGCTGAAACGGATGAGGCCTCAAGCAGCAGCAGAAGAAATACAAGTGCATAGCTTGTAAGAAAGTGAGCATAAAGCTAAACATCTGTATTCGTTGACATTTCAAATTTTCGCACGCGCATAAAAATCGTCGCACATCAAAAGCAACAACACAAAATAAATAAAGTAAAATGTTATGTGGCAAGCGAAAGGCATTTGCATAAGCACAGCTTGACTGCAGCGCAGCGCCGTGTAACACTTTGTTGTCTGGCATGCGGAAGCGCGTAGGTGAAGGGTTGACGCACACATGTACTAACCGCTCGAGCGCTAACTGAGCATGCTTAAGTGCGGGAAAATATTTTCGCATTTCCTCTGTGCTGAGGCTGAGCCATTGATGAATCGTAGAAACGGAACGGAAACTGAGTTTAGCATACTCGTACAAGTGGCGTGTAAGAAAAGCGCGATTGCGTACTGCAAATAGTTGAGATGCCTTTCTGTAAGGGTTTTCTCATTATCTCTGTTTTGAAAAGGCAACACTTGAAAAGAGCTAAAAGTTAAGTGAGTGAAATTCTCACGAAAAGTCACGAACGCGGGTGGAGATGATTTTTTTCAATACATATTTTCGTTGGAATAAAGCGCGCTTAATATTTTGATTAATTGAGTTTCAAAATGTACTGTAGAATGAGTATTTTATCAAATTTTATTATTTTTGCTTTAAGATGCACAGATTTTAGCGAAATAAATTCTTTAATTTCGCAGTTTTTTGGCACTGTATGTCTTACATTTCCTTTAATGTAAACTTTTGCGAAATTGACCCTTTAGTGCGGTGAAAATATTTACTTTAAGTATACACATATAAATTATACAAAAATATAATTAAAAAATTAAATACACTGAAAAAAATTATATTAACTTAAATAATATTTGTGTTAGTAAAAACATACACTGAATAACAAAAGGGGTAATGGTATTAGTAATGAATGTTCTGAGCATAGTTGTGCCTATGATTACTCTGATTACTTGATTTATTATTATATTACTCGATTCCTATTAACACAGTTTCAAAATATATGTATGTGTATGTGATAATTTATAGTTTACATTTGACGTATTTAGTTTTAAGTCCTTTTTGCATATTTTTTTTTTTTTTTGACTGAGATGAGATTACTTCTAATAGAATTAATAATTAGTAGATTTTTACGTGTATGATTACTTGTAGCTAAAACTGTTACAAAACTTGTTTAATAACTTAACTTTACAATTTAATAGTAATTTTCTGTTCCGATTACAATATCATTACCATAAAATATTTCAATTACATAACGAGTAATGTTCTTTAAAACCTTTATTTGTAATTATGATGAAGTTTACCGAAATAGACTATTTTGTAATCATTACAATTTCTTGAACGATTATTATTAACTATGATTACAAAACAAAGTAAATAAAAATGTTTTAATTTTTTCAAAATCCCTGTATTTTTTTCAAAATTATAGCAAGTAATGAATACCACAATTTATTTATTTTGTGTACATATTTGCATTACAACCATTACAATTAGTTTTGTAGCCAGTAGTTTGTTCGTAAATGAAGTAATCATAAGCACAACACCGCTCCTGTTTGACATACAAATATTATTCACCCACACCATCACATTTACATATGAAATGGGTCAGTTTTTTGTCTTGCTTACCCGCACTGGTTCTCGGTTTCGTACGCGTCGGCTTTACATCTTGACTATGATTGTGCGCGTGGCCGTGCGTATGATGGCTATGACCATGACCATGCCCATGGCCGTGACTAGCCGACATATTGCCACCCAAACTGCCACCTAAGCCAATGCTGCCACCGCCGCTGCTGCCGCCGCCTCCACTCATACCACTAGCACTACCACCAATACCACCATGACTTTGCCCCAGACCGGACGACACACCCGCCGACCCCCCACCACCCATCATATGATGATGCGTATGATGACTGCCCGACATGCTGTGTCGCGCTGCAGCCGCCGCTGCCATTGAGGAACTTTGAAACATACCCGCCGCAGCTGCAGCGGCCGCCTGATGATGTGCCACCGCCGCTGAGGTGTTGGCCAAATGATGATGCGCGGCATATGAAGCATAGGTGCCGTCATAACCACCCATAGCACTCGCGTTGCTGCCGACGCTGCCAAGCGACGAGTTCGCTGTGAGTCCATTACCGCCAAGACCCACACCGAGTCCACTACTGCTGCTGCTATTGCCTAAACTGTTGGCGTAGTGCGCTTGCGCGGTGCCATCGAATAGGCTGGAGCCATTCAGGGATATGGTATTGGCGCTGGAGGAGTGTGCATGTACATTGTGACTGCTGTTATTCGCTGCGGAGGCGGAGTTGTTGTTGTTATTATTATTGTTCGCACTACTGTTGTTATTGCTACTGCCGTTGTTGTTGTGCGAACTATTCGCTGTATTATTGTTGTTGTTATTTGTGTTATTATTATTATTATTATTATTGTTGTTGGTACCTTCTCGCTGCTTTGGCGCCGCCGACGATTGCTGGCTGCCATTGTGCGTCAGGCTGCCGAGGCCGTTCTGTATGGCGGGCTTTATGTCCAGCGCACAACTCGTGTCCGCTATTGAGGTAGTGCCGGTCGATTGCGCTTGGTGCATGAACGCGTTCACAACGGCCTATGGGCGAGAAGGAGCGAGTATTAAATACATATTTATAAACTATTATTTTTCTTAAAGGTAGGTATTTGTTCAAAATTAACTAAATTTTAATGAAAAACAAAACAATATTGTAAAATCAGAATTATTTATGAAGTATAGTTGTGTATGAATTATATAATTTTTTATTAAATATTATTTTAATTTATTATTTCATTTTCTCTATACTCAATACTACGCTGTAAATTAGCATTTTGTTAAAATTTTAATGTTTGATAAATTTTAAATTATTTAAACTAAATATGTATGTATTTTAACTCTTCCGAGTATATCCTATAGTAAAAACGAGATTTTTCAGGTAAAGGTATTTATTCAAAATTAACTTTACCAAAATTATTAAAAAATCGGAATTATTTTCAAAGTATTTTTTTTGTTAATTATTCTTTAATGTTATTTTTTATTATTTAATTTATATTCAATAATGTTCAGTAAACTAATCATTGTTGAAATTTTAATTCTAAAATAGTTTTTAAATCAACTTTTTCTATATTTTTTTATAAAAGATATATATTTTCCCTTCTAATAAAAAAATAAATTAAGATATTTTTAATTTTATAAAAATATAAAAACCAGGTTTTTATCTCTTTTTAGATTCATTTTCTGCATGTTTATGCATACTAAAAAATATTACTTTTTTAATTCTACATTTATTTTTGGGATTTATGTTCTTATATTTTTTGTTTAATTTTTTATTTATTTAATTATTTTTTGTTTTTTTGCATATATTAATTTAATAATAATCTCGATCTTTAACAATTATCCTTCGACATTGCTTTGATTGCGCCTACCTGATACTCCGATGGACCGGTTTGTACTGAATCGGGTGTGGAATCCTTTGGCGGTGTCGGTGGGAATGGAAATGAATGTTGGCCCGCCGTCGTCTGATGGCTTTGGCCAATTTGGCCGACCTTATGGTCCACCTGTGGATCTTGGGGGCATGCAAACGGACTGCCCCATGGGCTGGCGGGTGCGAATGATTTATGCTCGCTGGTAAGCCACGAACCGAGAGGCGGATGAAAGTGCGGCCGACACACTTGCGGTGATGTATGGGACGATGGCATACGGGATGCTGCAACGACAACAACAAAACAAACGAACGATTATAATAACAATATTACAAAAACAGTACTATAAATAAAACAACAACAATGCGGAATTGCGAAATTACATAAGGAAAAATGCTGCAGCTGTAATTATTTTGCATATCTGTAGCAATGTGTTTACATAAATTAAAGATAATCGCGCGCATTAAATCAATTATGGGAAAATTTATTTAAAAAATAACGCCGAAAAATCGGTTTAATAATAAAATTACGCGCGAAAAATTACAATACAGTTGCGGCCAACCGCCCATGCGCAACGCAAGCGTTGGAGGAGGGTCGCCGAAGTGCGAGACCAGAAGCGATAAAATTTCGATAATAAATGACTTTTTAAAAATTTGAGGCAACAGCGCGACCATGCACCTACATAGATTCATATGTGTGCAATAAATAATTTATTGCCACGTCTGTATGGCACCGTCCAATTGTTGTCCGCTGCGCGCGGAGCAATGCAAAGCTGCCACAACCCATATAGCGGCAGCGACAAAGCCATCGATCGTGCGATCGGCCGATCGTTCGATTGATCGCACCACACAGCATAAATTCGCCTGAAGCTTCTGTGTGTGCTGCTTTTGTATGCTGCCACCGAACGTCATGCAACACAATGCCTTGTGCTATGCAACACTTGCGTCCGCGAGTTGTTTTGCATACAAAGGCGCTGCGACGGCGGCAAGTGTTGCGGCCACATACACACACGCTCTGTATTAAGCTGAATTTTGTGTTTGTTGCTGCGCGCTGCGACGGCGGCTTTTGCATTGTCATAAATTGTTTAATTTGTATCATAAACAATCGCGTTAAACTTTATCCCTAAGCCATGCGGAGATCGCTCAAGCCGCCGTTGCCGCTAAGGCACACATATGGTACATACTATTTGCTACACTTGCATTATTTGTGTGGCAAGTTAGGCGATTGCTGTGCGGCAGTAGTGTGCGCGTTAATGCGTCCACAACAACAAAGCTGCCACCGCGTGTTGTCAAGAACTACCGCCAATTGCAGCTTCTGCTGTGCGGCCGTGCCGCGATGTGGCAGGCACTTCGCATGATTCATGCCGCATTTGATCCCATTTCCACTTTGATTTTTTGTTTGCACCTCAGCAGCGCTTTGTACGCGCGTACACATGCTTTGTACCTGGTAGCGTTGCAAGCTAATGCTTTTTGAAATGTATAATTTAGCAGACACCAAGTGAGATTTATGTGGCATGCTGTTGGCGCTTTGCTGCGTTGAATTATATATTTGGATTATGCTTATTTTTTGCCTTTTAATGTTATTTAATTTCTGTTTTGCCACAGTTTGGTGAGTGCAAACTATTAATGTAAAGTATAATGCATGCGCAGCTGGCCCAGTAACTTGCAACAATATGGTTTTCCGCATCAGCTGTCCTGTTATGGCAATTTGCCTGGATCCTGTCGTGCAACACACCACAAACATTTGACCGGCAGGCGAAATGCAATGTTATTATCATTATTATCATTGATTTTAAGCCTCGAGCGCCAAATAATAACTTCAATTCATATGTGTGGAACGCGTGTGTGCATGTGTGTGCGAGTCTAAATGCAACGCAAGTAGCATAGCAAATGAAGTGGATTGCGCACAGTTAATCGCTGCTGTGCACTTTTTAAAGCTTATTGCTATTTTTGTACATAGACAATCTTATCCTACTGCAATGTAGTACATCCTTGTGTGATAAGAGCGACAGTAAATGCTTACGAAGTACTTTTTCTATATATTTGAAATTCAGGTTTGGATTAAATGATAACCATTCAACATGAAAGGGAGCAGAAAATGAACTACTCAAGGTAGTAAAAAATTGCAACTAATTTGACGTATATGCCAGTATCGACAGGAAAAAATATTAGAGTGTGCTAAAAATTTAGCACTTCTGTGCTAAGTGTTTATAATAGCTAAAGATGAAACCTAAAATTCGAAGTTATACAAATGTTAAAAATAAGTAAACAATTCAATGAAATAGAGATGATTGGTAAAGCAATAACTATGGAAGCAGTAACTAAATAATACAATAGTATTAAAAGTACTAAATGTTAAACTTAGAAGATATATTGAAAACTTATTTTAAATTGTGATTGTCATTGTTATTGTATATATTTAGTGACAATACTGTAATAAAAATTTGTTCTAAAATTAAGTACTAAAATAAAACTGATATAAATTGATGCCACTTTTAATTCCCAAGTAATATTTTAATAAGTTAAAAAATGCCTTTACTACAATATATTACAAAGTTTGTCGTCTGTGTAATAGAAGAAAAATCAGCACGAAAGGGAGTACTAAAATGTATTACTAAAAGTTTGGTCTAAGCAGCAGTAGTATTAGTGGTCTATATGAAAATTGTATTTCAAGCTAAAAGTGAAAAAAACCTAATATTCTTAGGAAAGGTATAATGAAAAGTAGCTCTTTTCTAATGTCAATATTATTAAATTTCATTAATAAAAGTAAAGCAAAGATGAGTATTAAAGTTTAGATATTGAAGAAAAATAGTGTTATATTTAAAAAGGGTTAATAACTCTGGACTAAACGTGGAAAATAGTACTGAAATCTAGCACTACATGTTGTAGCTAAATAATAGTATTTGAAATACCGTGAAAATTAGTACTAAAACTTTTATTTAAGTAAAAGCATAAAAATTAGTATTGAAGTCAAGTACTAAAAGATAAAAATTAATTAGTAAAAATGGAAGTACTAAGAGTTATATGTAATTAGAAATAAAAAATTAGTAAAACAAATATGTGCTAAAATAGAGTACTAAAATAAAAGCAGTTAGTCTAACAAGGAAATCTGTTCTTAAAAGCATTAATGAGTGCTAAAACTAAATAATTACAACACAAATTTTAGTTACTACAAAATTTTTATTTCTTTAGCATTAACAATGGAATTAAAATTTATATATTTTGTTTCCCAAGTGTAAGGAAATTTGAATTTTTATATGAAACATATATATTTTTTTAATATTTTAATACTTTTTGGGTTTTTCCTTAATATATGCACCAATTTGTAAAATCTATATACATATACATACATCATATTTACAGCAAGAATTATTCGCAACTTTCTACGAATTTCAATTGCATTGCTTCCACTTGTAATTTATATTAGCCTTTACTCCGCACTACATACAAACTACTGGCATTGTGGCACAATTATTACAACATGCCTTACCTTACAACACAACAGATCGTGATGGATTATGCGCTTGTGATTGATTATGTGGCTGGTGGTGGAGTACAATAAAGGCAAAATATAAAAAAAATTTAATAACATTTAATATTGGCCATAAAACAGCGGAGCAATAATATCGGCACAACATCGACGCACTTCAACACAGATCGCGAAAAAGATGAGCCACTGTCAAGACGGCAGCCAGTAATAGCGAAAGCAACGGCAGCCAAGTGGACAGCAGCAGCATTATTCATCTAACTGGCCGCATAGCTGCTGAAGCGGCAACGTTCGTTGTTACTACCGACGCGCCGGCTGCTGGTTGCTTTGAGTACCGTTGTTATTGTTGTTTATGGTGAGTGCCGTTGAGCGATCTTGTCGATCGTTGCGCTTGATAATTCCCATTTGATTATCCTAATAACAGTTCTTTAGCCAATATTATATGTACGTGTGTCTGATTATAGATATTATGTGGCAGCAATTGTGGCATGGCCGTGCTGCCTTGCTGCGACGAGCGCCTGGCCTAAGTGACTTCAGGTGCTTTGCGCTTGCTCATATACATCTCTTTCGATTCTTTTTTCATTGCGGAGCCACACATTTTCGCATTTTTCGTCTCGTATATTGTTAGGGCCGCGACGAGTGTGTGCGTTCGCGTGAAGCGCAGGTGATCGCCAGTGAAAATGATTATTGAATTAAAATACACGTAGGACTATAAGCAGTGTCTACCTTTCATTATTTTTTGTTATTTTTGTTGGGGAAGTTATTGCGCTTGTCTAAATATTAAACCAGCAGACGGACAAACAAACAAACGGATTTATGGCAGTGATAGCTGTGCGCTCGCAATTGCGCAATTGCTTGCCTGATCGATCACTGGGCGCGAGCGCGAGATCACGTGATCACATCACGTTCAGCGCTAGTCAACGGACGAGTAAAATCACACATTTTTCATATATTTAAATATATATACCTATGTTTTTAATGTTTTTTTAGTGCCACAACTATTGATTTCGATCCATTGATGACTTATACATTGGTTTATTGTGTGAAGTGATCATGTGATGACTGAATAATCTACAAAACAACAATAAAAAATATAAATGAAAATGCCCGAAATATGAGCACATAATTTGTTGCACCTGAAACACGCACTCATGTTGGCACATTGCCACAACACTTGCCACATTTGCGCGCCAACTGAAAGGCCGATCACGGAAATCGGTTAAAAACATTTGATTTTAAGCATGGCGTTGTAATTTAGAAAAAAAGTATGATCAAAAATAATTTCGACGTGCAAAGGGAGTCGCCTGAACAAGCTTGCCACAAACGTGTGCGTCATTATTGCAATAATACGCTGTATAATTTGCCTTGGTTGCAAGTTGAAAATTATGGGTTGCTTACGAGAAGCAAAATAAAAATTGAAAAAAATAGAAAAAAATAAATAAAAATTAAATAATACCGCTTGTGATTCGCCAGCGCGGAGTGTGCAAAAATATGCAAGTTATTTGTATTTTTATAAATTTTTTATATTGTTTTTTTTGCCGGTATATTGCTGCTGCCGGTTTAATTGCATACACACATCTCATACACACACACACACATGGACAGCGCCGCATAACGTGCGAATTGTTACGGTAATTTTTGCCGCGCATGCGCAATTGCCCATACGCGCACACACACACACACATACATATTAATCATGCCACATATTCACATATGTAATCATGTGTATTTTTTTCGCAGCCGCAAATTAATAAGGTGTCAATTTATGATGTGTGCGATGCTGTGCCGATAAGCTCGT